TGGAGATGAGATGAGCAGGTAGGATAATAGATTTTTCTTACATTGGGAGGACTGATGGAAATTTTTGCTGTCACTTCATAGCTAAAATGTGAGTCTAGTGGCCAAGGATTTACTGGTATAATTCCTAGTTTCTCCCTAATAAATCCACCAGATGAACCCTAGATCAAAAACAAGAAGTTAAATGCTCCCAGGGGACAGGACATGAAGTGACAAGACATAGAGGAATCATTTAAAATCTTCAGTTTCAACATATCTTTAGAATCTAGAAGTTTCTGCAGTTTAAGTAAGGATTTTGCAGCTCCAAAGATGAGGCTGCTCCTAATGATAGTTTTCGGACATAAATACCAGCTCTACCCATACCCTATTGTAAAATCGTCAGGGTATATTGGAGGGTCAGAAACAAGTCAGAAATTCTGCAGTGGTTAAATAGTGGAAGGACACTCAGTGAAGGGAAGTGTTCTCAGGGATTTGGGGATTTTCCAAATGCCAAGAATTAAACTAGGCAAATTCACATGCAGAGGATGACCTGACCTGCAGGGCGAGGTGTACAGGGAATTAAGCTGGGAGCCGTTGTGTCCCCTTGAGGCAAAGACTGACCAGAGGTTGTTGAGTAGCAAAACATAGCTATGGTGACAGGCAAATAGGAGCCCCTATTCTCATGTGGCTAATTCAGAAGTCTGGCACTTCCTAGGAAGCATGATGAAGGAAACCCAGAGGGTTAGATACCAAATGGTGCAGCAAGAAAAAAAAAAAGAGAAAGAAATATTAGTGCAGAGAAAACTAGAAGACTAGACAGAAACAGTGCACCAAAAAAAGGGAAATAAGGCACCAGACAGAAGGCAGGGCCAGGGAGAAAAATAAGAAGCTATGGCCAAAAGGCAGAGAAAAAAGCAACTGGTCAGACCAGAAGGCAGAAACTCTGAATGGACAGAAAACTCAATCACCCCATCAGTCAGCAATGAGTCAGGCAGCCACCCTCCACAGTACTGGGGATGTCTTCAGGGCACCTGTAGTGCTGGGTTCTAGAGCCCTGGGAGGGACCAAAACTGTCTATTTCTACTCAAGTGGTGTTGACAGCCTTGGGACTGGGTCCAAGACATCCATCCTTAACTCATCTGGCTCTGCCCTGGAGCTCCACGCCTCAGTGAGTAGAGGACTGGGAGCAGACACTTCAGCTGTCTTCTCACTCTTCGGTGTCATCTGTCATCAAGAAAAGAGGGATCTAAGAAGCAAATGAGGCTGAAGACATAACTGATGGGGAGCTCAGAGGAGACTGTCTGAGAGGGAGGTTTGGACGAAGAAGGAGGAGGCCAGAGGAGGGACTCTGATGGGGACAGGGTGCAGCAGCTTTTTCCCAGGCCTGATTCCAGCTCCATTTACCCCTCCTAAGAGAGGAAAAATGAAGTGAAGGAAGAGCAATAAACAATGTCAATCACGAGGGGAGCAGAACTTTGTGCCTTTTCTCCCCCTTTGGAAAGTCGCTAAAGGAAGTACCGTTCTGAGTCTCTCTCCCAACGCAGCCGGTCAGCAGCTGTGCAGAGAGAATCATGTGGCTCTTCCCAAGGGAAGAGGGCTGCTCCAAGCAGGACAGATGAATCCTGTGACCTGCCCCTGGTGGAGCTGTCAGATTGGGAGAGGGCAGATCTGTACTAAGCTCAAACACATCTGGACGCTGTCACACACTCAAGGGAATAAACCAGATGGTGCCATTTTGGGAATATTCTTTGGCCTGGAAGCAACTCACTCATTGGCTGAAAGACCAGTATCAGGGATGTTCCTGGGTTAACAATAGCACTGAGGATGGAGACTATGTTACATCCAGTTCTTTGTAGCAGTTAGCATTTTGATCAATTTCATTTCCGCTGAATTCTTCAGCTGCAGTGAGACAAATGCGTGTTTTGAGTGCAGGGCATGGAGAGGGAGGACCAGCATTTATGTCTGCTGGTGGGGATGTGGCATGAAGATTACAGTACAGAGGGAACCCAGGAGCTCAGCTCTAGGTCAGCCAGACCTGGAGGAAAGGGAGGAAAAGAGGGATGGAAGGGAAGTGACCGAAAGGAAGCGGAGGTATTTATGAATACAAAGCTGGACTCTGTAAGAAGAAAGAATGTCCTTGAAGGAATTGCAGGTGATTTCTAGGTTCTCAAATCACTTTTGTAGCATTCACATTCACAGTTCGTATTTTTCTCTTGTTTTGTTGTTAACTGAAATTCTTCAAATAAGGGAAATACCCTGTGCCTGACGAGATGATTTACAGAGCAGTTAAATTCCAGACAGAGTGGTTTTTGCTATGCCCAACTCATCCATACTTGTAACTCTTAAGCACAGGAGAAGGTGGATGTTTGTGAAACAAGTCTCTATTAGGGAGAAATATGTGACAAGACATAGGCATCATAATGTAGGATGATTTTTTTCTGGAATAACCATATTCACATGAACCCAGTAATCATGTTGACACTGATCACATTCTCTGCCTCTCAGATGAAGTTTGAAAAAGTATCTTTCCATCTCAGCGTTCCCCAACCATATACCCCTAAACTCCATATACGCCACTCTTCCCCCACCAAAAAAATCCATTATTTTGATATATCTTAAGATTCCACGAAGGAACACAAGCCCTAAATTCAGCCTGCCTAATTTAAAATTCCAGCTCTCCCAGTAACTATCTGAAGGACTTCTACTGAGTCATTCAGCTTCATTAAATGGCAATTTCTTCAGCTGTAAGATAGGAATATTGATAGGAGTCATAGAACTCCTACTGCTACTAATGATGATTAAATTGTTTGTTAAGTGCTCAGCATAGCGTTTAGCTCAGAATAGATACCCAGTAACTCTAAACTTCAAAGCAAGGACAAAAGCTTTGGAGCTAAAGAATGAAACTTTCTTATTTATACGTTTTTCTTAAGTGAACAGTCATCATCTGTGTGTCTGTGAGTGTGCGTATCTTTGCATCAGTTTCTCTGAAACATCTTGAGATTTGCAAGAAGAATGTGTCAGCATGAGGGCTTCCATTCACCACAGCACCGATCCTCCATTCTTGAGTTTCACTGTACAGAAGGTCATTCTTCTACTAAAATGCAGAGCACCACTTTCCAAAGTCATTTGTAAGTTACCCTGCCTTTTGTCATGACTCTGATGGATCCGTAGCACAGAAAGGAAAACAAAGACCTAAAATCCAGACCATAAGATCCAATACAAGAAAAACATTGTATTGGGGCCATTAGAAAGTATCCATTCGACGTTTTCTATTTTCGGGGAGAAAGCAAGACCCACAGGTATAAGACTGATCTCAAAGCTACCTACACAAATGGACATAAAGCCAGTGGAAGAGGCAAAAATTTAGAAGTAAGGAAAGAGAAGAGAAGAGATGAAGGGAAAGTCAAAGTGTTCTTCCATACCAGCCAGGGGGGAAGAAGAGAGATACTGGGAGTTTTGTCATTCACAAAGTACCTTTAGTAGGCAGTACTGGAAGTCTAAGGAGTGGAGAATCAAAATGGCTCAACTAGGAGTTCTAGGATTTTGTATCCTTTTAGTGTACTCAACTAGGAGTTCTAGGATTTTTTAACACTGTAGCTTTCGAGTACGTGATAGCTTTTTAGTAATGTTTGTTTGTTGTTTGTTTGGAAATTGGGTAATTGGATAAGATAACCCCCGAGACTGTGCCCACTTTAAGGCTCATGATTTTGTTATGCTGTAGCTACGAGCTCTGATGGTCACTGTGCAAGGTGGCAGAAGACCCAGGCTCTAACTCCTGCTGTGCAAGTCAGGTTTGGGTAGATGGGGAGGGTGGAGAAAAGCATTAAAAACACAATGGCTGAGCTTCAGAGGACAAAAATATGACCAATGACTTCAAAAAAGTTTGTAGTGACAGTAAAATAAAAACACTATTAAAAATAAGCAATAGTATTATAAACCTGGCTAGGCCAGGGATTAGAAAAGACTCTGACAGCCAAGCAACTGAAGACCATTTGGGAGTGATGGGGGATACTGAGACAAGAAGCACACTGCAATATTAAAATGCATCAACAAGAAAAAGTGGCTGAGAACCACTGGCCACAAACTGGTTGTGATGGTTAATAATGATTGTCAACTTGATTGGGAAAGAAATACCCAAAGAGGTGGTGGGTTTCTGAAGCCGCTAACCTCATCAGTACATTAACCCACTGATAAACTTACAGCTGAATGGGCTATTAGGAGGAGGGACCTGTTGGCTGGAAGTGGGTCATAGGGACATACGCTTGAGAACTATATCTCAATATAGCTGCCTCCTTTCCATACCTGCCTCCTTTTTCTCTGGCTCTCCTCCATTCTCTGCTTTCTGGCTGCCTGAGGTAAGCAACTTTCTTCTGCCATGCCCTTCCACCATGATATTTCTGCCTTTGAGGCCAAAGACCATTGACTGAAACCTCTAAAACCATAAGCCAAGATAAACCTTTCTCCTTTAGGTTGTATATGTCAAGTATTCTGTCCTAGTGACAGAAAACTGATATTTTACCAAAGCCAATATGTTTTCAACTTGAAGTTCTCATTGAAATACACAGCTCCAACCTTGAGGAGGAAAGGAGTTCATGAACCTTTAGACTCGGTGTATAGCTCTGCATCAGAATATAAATTATATTTTCAAGTGACCAAATTTTAATATGAGTTGTTTGAGTAGATTCCAACTTATTTTCAAATTCAGGCAAAGTAAACTTGTACATCTAAACTCAGTCGAAATCTGACATTTAACAGAAGCCATCAAGGGGTAGGCTGTCACTGAGAGAGCCCACTGAATTTGCTGCTGTAATGCTGGCTGTGTGTGGACTGCATAAGTAAGAATGGTCTTTGAGGAGGTTACAAAGAGGTTACTGGCCAATGTGGGAAATTCAAATGCATCTGGAATCATTTGCAACTTTTTAAAGACTTAAAGCTATTATTTAAAAAGTTTGTTGGCTTATTTTCCTAGCCATTTGTCCTGCTGCTTGCAAATAACATGTATGACTCTGTGTGTTTTCTTTCAGGGTCTTTGTTCCCTGATTTCAAACCCTCAGAAACAGTTTTTAAAATAGTGTTTTGGCTCGGATACCTAAACAGCTGCATCAACCCCATCATATACCCGTGCTCCAGTCAAGAGTTCAAAAAGGCCTTTCAAAATGTCTTGAGAATCCAATGTCTCCGCAGAAAGCATTCTTCCAAGCACACCCTGGGCTACACCCTGCACGCCCCCAGCCATGCCCTGGAGGGGCAGCACAAGGACATGGTGCGCATCCCGGTGGGATCCGGAGAGACGTTCTATAAGATCTCCAAGACTGATGGGGTCTGTGAATGGAAATTTTTCTCTTCCATGCCCCGTGGATCTGCCAGGATTACAGTACCCAAGGACCGATCTTGCACCACTGCCCGGGTGAGAAGCAAAAGCTTTTTGCAGGTCTGCTGCTGCGTGGGGCCCTCAACCCCCAACCTTGGAGAAAACCACCAAGTTCCAACCATTAAGATCCACACCATCTCCCTCAGTGAAAACGGGGAGGAAGTTTAGAGGACGGGGGAAGGTCACAAGGAAAGGGGTGATCCTAGATACCTTCCCACTTCCTACTCAAAAGACAGCTCACCTTCCTTGGAGGAAAAGACAGGAGCATTCAACAAGGGTACACCAGGCAAGGGATGGGGGAGGAGATCCAACTCACCAGGCAACGCATAAGGAACAGGAAAGAGGCTGGAAATCTCCCAACCAACAGGTTCAGAATGATTCTAGACAACATATCTCTGCACCTGATTCTCATTTGTTTTCTAGTCTGCTTTCCACCACTGGCCCTTTCAATGAGAAATACCATGGGAAACAGAATTGCATACACAATCCGAAAGACTATAAATACAGGATTATGATTTCATCATGAATATTTTGAGCATTCACTCTAAGTTTGGAGCTATTTCTTGATGGAAGTGAGGGGACTTTATTTTCGGGCTAAACCTACTGACGCCACTGTTGACATTTATGGAGAGGAACCCTAAAGAGAATTGGGAGATGATGGCCAACACCCAGGCACATTACTTGTAGAATGAGTTTTAAAGCTCCACCATTTCTGATACATCCAGTTTCTCAGCTTGGGTGAAATAGATAGTGAGACTTCCCTGTGGCTGCACTTTGATGGAATACTGTGCTTATCCCCAAGGATGAGGGTTAGGGACACTCTTGCTGCAGAATGAGGAGGCTCATGCTCCACCCTGTGAAAATCTTTTCGTCATCAGATAAGAACAATAACAACTGCCTCCACGTAAAGCTGGAGAGTGGAGGACCGACTGGGGAGAGGGTGCTTTTCTCAAGAGATTACAGTACACATGAGGCTCATCTTCACAAATTAACTGCTAAGGTCAAAAACCTTTCAGCACTTCCAAGATCAGATGTGGAGAGGCTTCTAGTGCATCACACTGAAAGATCAGCAGGTTGAGGGTGCTAATTTCATGCTAAGCTAGCGGCTGCCAAATCACTCCACAGCCTTTTGGATGTGGCCTAGAAAATTCTTGACAAATTACTTGCCTTTCCCAGAGCTCCGTTATGAAAACCCAGAGCTTGTATTTCAAAAGGCGAAATGACTGACTTCCACTTCTTGTCACCTGCTTCACTCCTGCATCAGGAATGAGGGTCACCTGCGGCACACTGGAGTGAGCCTTGAGACCCAGGGACACCCTTCCTGGACTTGGAAAGATGTCAGTGCTTAGTCTCGGACACATACTGACTGGTTACCAAAGAACTGCCCAAAGCAGGGGTTTGCAAACATTTTTTCGGCAGAAAAATCTTTATTCCAGCAAAAGATCCCACAGCCCACTCAGATTCATCCATACTGCTTCCTATAGGAAATTGGGCAACATTTCTTGCTTCATATCTACCAAATTTTGATAAACCTTAATAACTCAGATTATTGCTAATGATGACAGTGGTAACTATATGTGAAAATTAAAATATGCCTGTTACCCCACCATGAGAACTTAAAATATGATTCATGTTTTTTGAATAATTCCTGACAAGAATCATTGATCTAAAACTACTGGTCATTTCTGTGGCCCCTTCCTTATTTGTGTGACTTCCTCCAGGAATTTCAAAGCAGGTTGGAGACGTTGTATAACCCTCCAGCAAGAATCATGGCCCAATCATCTCTCTTTCAGCAAAATAATTATTTCCTTAAGTCTTGCTAAAAGCAAATCTCTTTCCACATTGCAGTGGAGGATATGTCTATATGTGGATGTAGGTTTTGTGAATGGCTGTGTTTGGGCTTTGAACGCAGCTGCTCTCTCCACTTTCTGGACAGTGTCTTATTAACAAGATAAATAGATACTTGATGTAGTCGTAAGAACATAGATTCTGACACTTAGAAGATGGCTGGATTTTTAGACTCTACAAGTCTCTCTGCCTGGCCCATACCAGTTCAAGCAGATACAGAGGTCTCATTCTAGAGGCGGACACCTAGGAAGAACTTGAATGTGAAAGCCTCCTGATTTTCTGCCTTGGCAGGACAGAAGCTTCATCACTGAGAAAAGCTTCTTTCAAATTCTGAATTTAAAAATTACTCTTGGCCTTGGCTTCCCTTTACAAAAAGAGCATCTTCCTGGGGAGAATGATCATAACCTGTCTTCCTCAAAATGTGATCCCGTATTAGACATGATCATGAAACACGTCTGTGGATAAATTTACATTGTAGATGTGGGAAAGTGTATGAGCACCCGGAAGTTAGTGTTAATGCCACTTGTAATCAAAACACACAACTAGAAAATCTTTTGGTCATCAGATAAGAACCATGACAATTGTATCCATGTAAAGCTATCCGTAAATAATTGTCTGCTACACTCTTCCCCAGCACACTGCCCTCTAGGGAGGTAAACTTTTAACATGTTTCCCCTTTCCCATAGCATGATATTGGGTATAAACATGCCAATTTTATAAAAAAAAAATTGATGTTACTCAGAATTCAGTGATAAAGTGAGATAAACAGCACACAAGTTGAGATGCCTTTCACTCATCCACAAAAACATCTGTACCTTTAAGCATGCCAAAAACTATCTAAAATTGTCACAGCTAAACAAGTGATTGTCATATTTATACTCCCATGTTTACTGCTTCTATTTGGAGCTGGAGGAATTTACCCAGGGTAACACTGGTTAAAATGCCTTTGCTAATGTGTTACAAAAAGCTGTTGCTTTGGGACTGCCTGAACGTTGCAAAAATCAGTGACATTATGGGACAGTCAAAACTTGAGTTTATTCCGCAGTAGTTATATGCATAAGAAGGAGCCTTAAATCTCTTTATTCAAAAATTTCTGGGGCCGGGGATATAGCTCAGTGGCATGGCACTTGCCTGGTAAGCATGAGGTACTGAGTTTGATTCTTGTTTCAAAAAAATTTTCCCAGACTATAAAAGTGTTTCAGAATTCATTTTACTTATCACAGTTTTCTTCCTTTTCTTTTCTCATATCTCATCCAGTTCTGCTTCTGGTGTAATTACTTAATGTATCCTACACTTCCCAAATTGGGAAGTCTCCTAATTCCATCACCACCTGCCTAGGTTGGTCCGCCCCTGGCAGACAGTCTCTTAAGCTTTCTCTGTTAGGTGTCCCTGTGTCAGCAATCCTTGGCTCTAGACTCCTAACAACTCCACTCTTCCTATTTTAGAAATGAAAATCTGATGGTTGAGTTAATCAAGTGCTTGGCCAAGGGCAAGGAGGATCTGACTTAAACTTGAGTCTGACCAACTCTAAGCATTCTCATTCTCCACAGCATCTCTATGCCACACGCAGTGAGGGACAATAACCTCCCACTTGGGTTAGGTGTGTGAGGATGCCAAACTTCGAAATGTTTTGTTTCCTTGTGATTTACCTACAAATTAACCTTGGCAAATATGCTACCCAGTCTCCAACCCAGCCAAATCCAAGAGCAGGTAGGCCATCATTGAGAGAGGCTGGTGTCTATCATGCTCTCAGACTGCACTACTTTTTTAGGGAAATGGCCTGCGATGTTAAAAGGCTTGGTAAGAAGGGCACTAATATCAAATTAGGAAACAGTGGGCATATGAGAGAATGCAGATAATGCCAGGCGTAGCGGTGCACGGCAGCAATCCCAGCACTTGAGAGGCTGAAACAGGATCAGATACATAAACAGATACAACATCATGCTCACTCCCCCGCATTCCAAATTTTTTTGGTTTTTGCCTGGAAAGGAAAGGACTGTAGGCATTGCCGAGAATGTGCTGAGTGTGTGAGTTTCATGGATGCCACCCTGAGAGAAGGGCTCAGCCTGCTGACCTTCAGGTAGTGAGAGACCCAGGCAGCCACCCAGGTTGGCAGCTGTGCTATGCCCAGGAAACCCACCCTTTCCTCTCTCACAAATGACAGCTATAGGTCCGAGCATCTTGGCCTCCCCCTTGACTTCCGCAGTGTGAACCATCACACAGACACGCTGGTCCAGTAGGTTCCTGAGTTTCAGCCTGGGAGTGAGAACATTTTAGGAACCATTTACTTGGGCAGCTAATTGTTCACTCTTTAATCACACAGCTATTTAATCAGCCTTGACAAACATTCTCATGGCTTCTGGAGAGAGTGCTGCGCAGGTCCTCGTGCCAAAATAGATCTTCCTTCTACGCATGAATAGTTGTTGACTTAATTAAGGAAAGAGCTTTGTTCGCCAGCACAGGGAGAAAGCAAAAAGGTGGAAGCTGAGCAGGTAGAAAGCCAACTCTCCCAGCAGGAGCCAGGGTGACAAAAGAGAAGCTACGGGTGGCAAAGATGGAGCCATCAGCGGTCACTCACTCATCACTCATCTCTTTTTACACTACTAGGACTTTTAACCATGAAACCACCTGTACACAGCTCCGGTCAAGCTCCCTTGGAACACTGGTTGCTCCTGCTCCGTGTCTATGAACTCCGCTGGGAGCAGGGCTGAGTCCACCATCTTCCAAACACAATGGCAGCAGGGTCCACTGGCCTCCAAAGTCCCCGCAAGAGGAGTGAGTGGAGATGACGGTTTGGGACTGGGCCGGAACAGCTGGTTAGGATCTCAGCAGAAGGCGCTGACCCCTTGCCACTGTGGCCATCAGTATGACCTTGTTCATGCCCTCCAGACCCAAATATCGTGTGGGTGGGCTAAGAATGAGCCTCATCTGCTCTGTGCAGGAAAATGTCATTTCTTCACAGCCACTGCAATGTGGATTATGGGTTTCCCCGCATAGAAGGAAGAGGCCAGCTGTGGGGGTAGCAGGGACTGTGGATAAGGGGGAGACAGCATAAACAGGACTCAAAGCAGGGTGCTGTCCTAACGCTTTGCTGCAACTGGTAAGCAAGCAACTAGCCAAAAGCTGGTGATTTATTCATTTCAAAAGAGAAAATAATTACCTCTCCTGTCACAAGGCTGGGGAGCTATTACATTACTCTCCCTCTGTATCCATGTAGACACATGCTAAGCTGGAAATGATTATTGCAAAATGAAGAAAAGTACAGACTCAATTAGGTTTAAAAAAAAAAAAAACCTGAGAGCAATGTATACTGTATTTAAAGAAAACTGTGATGCAGACCCTGGCATTTTAAATAGCCTGAATACAGTAGGTGAATTTAAACATGAAGAGAAGTAAAGACAGAGGATCCCAGCAGGAGCTTTAGATTTATCCCTGTGAAACATTGCACACTTGTCAAAGTAATTTCACCTGCTTTGGGTCATTCCTGTGATTGATAGGAAGAGAAGGAAGGGCTTATGATCGGTCCTTGGCACAGGGAGGAATGAGGGGTTGTTCAAAGATTTCCTTGAAACCCACCCCCCATCCAGCCATTGACTCCTTTTTCTTTGAGATCTCAGTATCACCGAGGTCCACTTTGCTGTCACACTCTTTCATCTCCACCTTCTCTCCAGCGCTCTCTGCCAGCTATCGACAGCTCAGGGCTCTTCTCAGGGTCCAGTGCACATCCACCGTGCTCCTCTCTGTGGCTGACAGACAGGCACTTTGGAACTCTGTTCTTTCTCCCTAAATAGGCAGCCCCAGAGCCACAGGGCTGAGGGAAAAGGCAGGGCAGGAGGCTCTCAGTTTGCTCAATGAGGTGAAATGTAAAGCAAAGCCCAAGAATGACAGTCTCCGCAAGGTCCTCAGAGGTCCCACAGGGAGTTGCAGGAATTCATCTTTGCACTGGGAGCTACGACCCCCTGTACACACACTGACCGTCAGCAGCAAATTACCTCTCTTGCATCCAACACTGCCCTTGGCACAAAACCTGCAGTGAGGCTCAGACAGTCCCCAGCTTATGAGCTGGCTGGAGCCCAGGGTCATCTGTGTAGAAGTCAAGAATGTGTTTTTCCGAGAGGCATTGTTCTAAGTGAGGGAGGGGAAGGATGTTCCCAGATAAACCAAAAAAATAAAATTCTATTTAATGTACACCAAGAGTTGCCAAGCTTTTTCTGTAAAAGGCTAGAGAGTAAATATTTTAGGCATTATGAGCTATATGGTGTCTATCATGCATTCTTCTGTGTTTTGACTTTTCGGGAAGAAAATGGACAATCTTTTTTAAAAGACTTCAGCAAATTCAGCCCCTGGACCACAACATACCACACATGACCTGTGGCATCACAGCTTCCGGGTAGTGCAGGTGACACTAAATGGTGGCTTTTGGTGCTCAGCATACAAGCAGCCTTTTTAAAACATGTCACTGACATATCTTGCCTGGGCTGAACCTATGTGAGCTGCTAGATAAAGTGACATCATTCTTTGGGACCTTCCGAGCAGGTGTCAGGAAAGCAGGTGAGCACCTGCCTCGCTTGACCCCCGCATCCTGTGGAACAGGCAGTCCGCAGGTGCCCAGGTGAGTGCATGGATCCCACTCGTGACCTTCTGGGCAGTGGGCCATGACAATATGCCGACTCTGAGCTGCAGCAACAAGTAGCTGTTACATGACCAAGGCCATCCTCCCAGACCCTTGGAAGTTGGTGACATGGAGGTTCCCAAAAGCTTTTTGAGATCACACTTGCCTTCTTGGAGAGGACTTTTGAGCACAGTGCCCTGCACCAGGGCATCTGAGAGCTGCTTGGAGCTCAGAAAGCAGTCACGGGACACAAAGAGATGGTGTCTTCCAAAGGACAAATGGGAGGATTTCAATCCTTTTCTTCGTGCTTTGTTTCTTCTTTCCCCAATTTTCCTCTTCTGGTAAGTCTGAAATCACCTAACTAGAATAGAAGTGCTAAGGACAGTGCTATGGGGAGGCACAGTTAGCCTTCCTGGGGATGTGGAAGCATATTTCCCTGAGCTGGTGCTTTTGTGGGTCCCCTTTCCCTTCCTCAGTCCATCCTGATGGCGGTGAGGAAGAAGAAAACAGTCCTGGTTGGAAATAAAGCTCAGTTCCCATAGCCTAGGGCAGGAGCTAGAGCGTTGACTGAGGGGACTCTGTGGCCAGGCTCTGGAGTGGGGCATTTGACATAGTGGATGCAGAACTGACCTGGAGGGAACTGGAAATCAAAGTCGCTTAGTAGTAGCACCACTTTCTCCTTCGGGCATGAAAGAAGGGCTTGGGCAGGCTCTATACAGTCTGCCACTCATTATGGGCAGAGATGGGAGACCAGCTGCACAGAAACTAGGAAATACCCAGGAAGGCTCAGGTAGTAGTGGATGAGCCTCGGAACTCTAAAAAGTTATGGTACTATCCTAATTTGGGTGCAGAGCACATCAGTAGGGATTCAGGGCTGACTGCCACCTCCAAGCATCCCAAAGACATCTGTGCCTGGGAGAGCAGAGCCTTAGCACTGAACAGACCCTTGACTCTGAAGGCAGGATGAGAAAGAACAAGGTGGGGTCAGAAGCAGCCCAAGGACTGGTCCCAAGTCACAGCTGTAGGTAGGCTAAGGCTGTCTGCCGCACACTGGGACTGGCATAGAAAATGAGTGCAAGATCTTTTAGGGAGCTTTCTTCTGTTCTGTCTCGTGGCCTAAGAAAAGCAGAAAGGTGGCCACATCAACCTCATGTGACGTGAGGCATGGGCAGCCACTCCTGAAAACAATCCTCTTAATTCAGACCTTCTGAGACCCCTGAAGTCCCCTCTGCCCAAGCCTCTCTGGGGGAACAATGCAGTGCTGCCTCTTCCAGTGTGACCCTAAAGCACCTTGTCCTGTCCGCCTTCTCTTGCAGTATTCTATCCCACTTCTGCTTTATCAACCCACCCATGCCTCTTATTGCAGAGAAGTCGATGGCCCTAGTAGTCCCACCATGACAGCCATGGAGATTCCCTCCTCCATCAGTTCCTGCTGAGAAGCAAGGAACATTTGTCCTCATTAGCAAGGCCCAGGTGCTCTAACAGCTGGCTCGGCATCTGCAGGTGTGATTCCTGTGCAAAAGACGCTGTTGCTTTGGTCTCCTGCCCTCTCTTCCCATCCCCAGGCACTCTGAGATTGGAAGTATTTCTGATCCCAAATATCAGCCACAGTGGGACATCCTGCCACCTAATTCATGAGCTTCCGTCCAATCTAGAAATGCCAGAGAGAAAGTCACACAGAAAGGCAGGACCTACACAAACAATCAAAGCATCCTAGCCCAGACCCAGGACTTACTATTGATTCATCCACTAAAATAGTCTTTCTGGGGCTGGGGATTTAGCTCAGCGGCAAAAGCGCCTGCCTGGCAAGCGCAAGGTCGTGAGTTCGGTTCCCGGTACCGGAGAAAAAAACAAACAAACAAACAAAAATAGTCTTTCTTCCCACCTGATCTGCATTCCTTTTGTAACCCCGGCTTTTCTTTCATTATGAAATGCATTCCACGAACTGAGCTCTTAAAGGTTTGAAGACCCAGAGCCCATTCATCAAGAACTGAGCATCGGGATGAGCACGTCTTGCCTCCCAGCATCTCTGCTTTCCTGGTGCCTGCATCATACCAGAGGCGACAGGCATTGTAAATCACAACGAAAGAGAGGACACCGGCGAATAGTAGGAGGATGAGCAGCTTTAATCTGCAAGCAAGGTTGCCCAAATTCAACCTGACAAGTAGGGAGGCTTTTTAAAACTCTGCTACAAAGTAATTTTTATAGCAAAACATGGAAGTAGTACAAATATTTAAGTAATAATATATTGCCAGGTGCCCAAAGACTTTTTATAAGATGAAACAGTGGAGAGTAATTAAATTAAAAGGAGGTCTCTTGCTTGCTGTCAGCTTGGTTTGGGGAAGCTGGGCTGATCCACACCTTTGTCTTCTTCACATCCCAAGCAACCCTGATACCTATGCTTCAAGTGAGAGCTGACACTCACTTCAGCCCTGAAAACCCAAACCAAAGCACACGCTTTTCTCATCAGATGTGCAGGAATTTTTGTCTCTGGGCATAACAAGTTACACGGGGTCCACTTCGCAGTATTTCCACACAAACTAACCCACTATTGCAGACATCCAATTCTCTTGCTCCTTACCATGTGACTGTGACAGATCGTGCAGGGTTAAGTCTTAAATACGAAAACCTGTATTTCTGGAGCACCTGCAGCAAACCAAGCCCTGTGCACATTTCAAGATGGTAAGGCACTAGATTCTAGTCACATTACCAAAGAAGCATTTCCACAGAGAGCCAGCACAGTGATACTGAAGGGAGAGGAAGAGAGGGGTGAAGTCTATAGGGGAAAGGAAGAAGCCTAAAAAGTTGAGCCTGCATGTTCTGTCTTCCGGAGCACTCCTCTGGGAACCTCAACCTGCCCTTCCCTGAGCCGGTCACAGGCAGGAGCCAGAAGAGGATTGAGAGAGGTGCTGTGGGAAGAGCGAAGGAGTGGGCCTCCCAGACCCGGGCTCTGGTGCAGCCCACATCTCTTGGGGCTCTTTGACTTGTCATTTGTCATCTCTGGGCTCCGGGTTCTCACCTGGGGAGCAAATGAAGTTATGGGCAAGAAGATGCCTTGTGAGTAGGTGAAATGTATGAAGTCCTCCTGGGTGCCACACCGCCGGCACTTCTGCCCTGCCTTCATTTCCCCTCCCACCTGCTGTCTATGGAAGTCAGAAGTCGTTACTTTCTTCAAGCACTGGAGACTCCACTGCTGGAAAAGGGAGAATAAGTCTTCGCTTCCTTTGCACTTCACCTTGCTTCAATGTACTTGTTCCCAGGAGTGGTTCATCACTCCCTGAAGACAATTCATTCTCTTTAATAAGAAAGGAAGCCACATAGCAGGTGCTATGCCATGACCCACGCTAGTCACCTAAAGCCTGGGCTGTCAGCCTAAGCCCAGACTGCTAGGAGCCACTTCCGGTCTCCGTCAGCCTAAACCCAGGCTGCTAGGAACCACTTCCGGTCTCTGTCAGCCTAAGCCCAGGCTGCTAGGAAC